TAAAGCATTAACTAAAGGCAGTAAAATATAATCGAGCAGTGAACACCAACCAACAAAAAAGCCCGCTTTAGCTCCACAGGACTGTGCGGTGTAGTTATAAGCAGAGCCTGAGTCACCGCTGACCCGACTAAAACGTGCATAACTAAATGCCGTTAATAGCATTGCAAACAACGCCAGAATATACGCCAATGGCACACGACCATCGGTGATCCCAGACACGATACCAAAAGTATCGAACACCACCATCGGGGTCATGTAGGCCACACCAATAATGACCACTTGCCATAGTGACATTTTCTTTAAAGAAAAATCTGCATTTTTCACCGAAATCACCATCTTTCATTTTTCAATCTAGTGATTTTGGTTTTTGCAACAACTATGCCATATAATAACAGCTTCGCTATTTTAAAAATATTGAATTAAATGCCAAAGTACGATTTAGAAACCCGAAAAGCAGCGATTCAACGCTATAAACTCACGGATTATAAGGTTGCCGTTTGCAAGGAATTTAACATCTCTCGTGTGACCTTAGACGCATGGATTAAGCTCGAAGAAGAAACAGGCGGCTTGTCTCCAAAAGTAGCCAACAATCGTGGAGCACCTAGCCATATTAAAGACTGGAGTGCATTTCAAGTATTTGTTAAAAATACAAAATTTCAAAATATTAGCGATTTAGTTCCACTTTTTGAACAACACTTTGGCTATTCGGTTTCTTATGCAGTTTTGGTTCGCGCCATCCATGTTTTGGGGCTAAAACGTCGTCGAGGAAGATTCTACGCTTAGTCAAAAAAGGACTATTTTTTATAATATTCTCTACGCATGTATTCATATAAATAACTGTACATTAATGTAAGGTTAATTTATTAAAAATGTAAATTATAATTATTAAAAAAGTAATTATTTATAAATAAAAATGTAAGTTATAAATATTAAAAAAGTAAATTTATTAATATAAAAAAGTAAAGATTGAAATTCAATTTAGTAAGGTACTTTTTAAAAGCCTGCGCAAAAATAGACATACTGCTGCATCAGCTTGGTTCATCTCGGTGCATAAATCTCATCCCAAAAGATACAGACCTAAAAAAAAGGGCACACTGCCCTTTTTTAAATCCCATCACTTGTTATTGATACATCGGTTGATTGTCATTTAAACGAATAATGCCTTTAATGGCACGATACACAATCCACACCCATGACAACCCAATCACAGACACGCAGAAGGTTGAAGCACCGAGTGCGACACCTGCGAAAGCGGTGGCATTTTCACCCGTAAAGAATAAGAAAATAAATGGCACAAAGGCAATCACGTTCCAAATCAAATACCACCAAAAGGTGCGAATCTGCCAAGTAAAATGGCTCTCAAAAATGGAACCACGCACAGAGCCACGCTTCACATAATTAATCACTAAAGCAATGATGGCTAAAATCCCTGCGGAAAAAATCGCAACGATATACAAAATATAAAGAATAAAAGTCAGACTACGATTCGGATCTTGATCGACTGAATAATTCATATTGTCCCTCATGAAGTGGGCTTGAACTTTAAATAGGCAAACTATTGAAAGGAGAAATAAGCCATAAAATTAAAAGAATATTGAATAGAATTGTACAAAAGTAAATCTTTCTAAACGGTTGTTTTTGTGTTTTATGTCGTAGCTTTTGCTGCGCTAACCATGCTGCAGGCCATCCCCCTAAAAATGAAAGGAGATGTAATGTATTTTCAGGTACACGGCGCTGCCCATTTTGTGCAGCCTCTTTGTCTTGTGCATAGAACCAATAACTGGCCGCATTCATCACACTAATCAACAGCAGCACTAATCCACTCAAACGCCCCAGCAATACCAATAG